GCGATTATTTGAATAAAAGCCGTTACGCTGCCCGTCCGATTCTTAATGTTCGCCACTCCTACAATACATGTAATATTTTTTAATCATAAAAAATATTGAAAAAGAACTAAAAATGTTTAGTGATTAAAAATTTAAAAAAGAAGGAATTTGGTTATACAAGATTCGTAGTCTATGAGTGTGTGCGTTTAAAAAAAATCTTTGGTGTCGGGTACTAATAGCGCCATCTAGCGAGTTCATGGACGAACTACTTTATGCAAAAGTAACTCTGATACATTTTTTCGCCTAAACCGCCGAACCAAACTTGATGAATTTTGGTATAGAGATAGATAAAGTCCAGGAGAAGGACAAGGCTACTTTTAGACACAAAAATGGATCTTAAAGGTGTTGAAAGACGGTATGAACATTTTTATGGAGAACCAATAAAATATATGAAAATCAGTATAGTTCCAGTAGGTCACTTTTTTATTTTTGTTATTTTTTATAATATCAAGTGACAAGACGACCAATTAATGTGCCTGATGGTAAGCTACACGCATGTCCATAACAATTGCAGTGCTACACAGTTTTAAATCGCAAAGATCCGAGGGGCACTACCACTACGCCTGTCACCCTGAGACATAAGTTGACTAGTACCACGTGCCTGTAATTTTACCAGCAACCTAATCCTTCAAAACCGGAACACAGTAATGCGCTGACATTACCTACTGCTTGGCAGCAGAAATAAGGTGTAAGGTGGCAGTACTTCCCTGGACGTACTCTTTCACAAGGAGCTCTACTGTTATTCGAAGTACTTATTCTACGCAGACGAAGTCGCGGGCACCAACTAGTAAATACATATAACAGATACAGAAATATAAACCGGATTAACGAAACACAGCTGAAAAGAAATATACTGGAAATGAAACTATTTTTCCGGATTTATATCGCGTATATTTGTTTTTTCAAACAAATTGACGTTTCATGAAGAAATATACTGATCAAATCAATTTCAACAGGCTCATAAATAAACTAAGTATCTACCATTAAGATAATATTATCACTCAATATTGGTACTTGGTGCAACGGGCTGGTATCCGCAATATTAATAATATAACTAATAATAATAATGAATAGTAATTATTAATAATATTA